TTTGAAAACTTTATTTCATAGATCAAGAACATTATATAGCGAGTACATCAGTTGTTAATGACGTTGATGAAGAATACAGTAAAGACAAAGAAATTAGTATGTATTTAATTTATTATAATTTTAATACCTATACTTGGTATCCAGAGTACCTAATTATTTATATATCATAATGTTATTGAAAATTTGAAAACTTTATTTCATAGATCAAGAACATTATATAGCGAGTACAGCAATTGTTGATGATGTTGATGCAGAATATAGTAAAGATAAAGAAACTGGTAAGTATTTAACTTATTTTTAAACTTGAAACTTTTGAAATTTAGTTAATTTATAAATTAAAATTCTTAAATACTGAGAATATTACACCTAATGTATATTTTATAATATTTACTAAATAAATTTTCTGACTATTATACAGGTACAAATGTTTCTATGAATATTGAAATGGAAGATGAATCATTGAATTTTATAAGTGATAATGATAATAATCCAACATATTTACAAGATTTTAATGTAAGAAGCTGTATTGAAAGAAACAATTCAATTGATGATGAAAGTAAGAATAAATAAAATTAAAAACAATTGTTTTAATAGGTTACAATATTGTTAACAGAATTGATTTTTAGTTTTAAGATTTGGGAATGATCCGGAAGTTTTCAGTCAGTTAAATGATCTTACACCTGAGCTTATAGATTTCTTTTTTAAAAATGGATCATCTCAACCATCATCAAATGATTTTTCCAACAAATGTTTTCCTAAAAACAGTTCGGGAAGATCATTTCATGACAACTGGTGCTGGAAAAAATCTCCAAGTGGAGAAATTACTAGAAGGTTAGGTTAGGCTGTCTTATTCTAAGTTAGAAAATAGTATTTATTGTCATTATTGTGCACTTTTTGGTCGAACTGGTCAAACCAGTTGGGTTAAAAAAGGCTATAGTAACTTTCAAAATGCTGACATGAGAATAAAATTACATGAAACAACTGAAAAACATATTATGGCATCTATTAAAGTAGCATACAGACAAGCAGCTTTTCCACTAATACCTTCTATGGTAGAAAATGACAAGACACATATTGCACACAACAAAGAAATAATTAGACATTTAATTGGCATTACTTTATTTCTTAGCAGACCTTGTTTGTCTTTTCGGGGACACAAAGAGAATAAAAATGAGGATATTCGAGGAAATTTCAAAGATTTAGCTGCACTGTTAGCTAAATACTCTCCAGCCTTAGCATCGCACATAACTGAAGTTGAAATAAAAGGTAGAAAAACACATAACTTTTTGTCCTGGCAAAGGCAAAATCAGTTAATTCAAGCTATCTCAACAAATATTCGTAGCAGAATTCAACAAGATTTGCTACATATTTCAGTGTTTCATTGGACACTACTTTTGATATATCAAGGAAAGAACAATTATCTCTCGTATTTCGATATATTAATAAAGGAATCATATGTGAACGACTCGTCGCAGTACGTGAGACGCTCCATACAACTGGGCAGCATCTTATCACTATGTTCAATGATATTTGTGAAGAAATGAAGTCAAACTGGAGACAGCATCTTGTTGGTCAGTCATTTGATGGAGCTGCCTCAATGCGAGGCACTTATAATGGACTTCAAGCATTTATTAGAGAACAAAATTCAAGTGCAATATATGTTTGGTGTTATGCACATCGTTTTAGCTTGGTTGTAGTTGACGCTGTAAGTAGTTGCCTTGAAGCCCGTGATTTGTTTGGGAACCTAGAGTTACTGTTTGATTTTATTGGAAGTAGTAAAAAAAGAATTGGTCTTTATTCTAATTTTCAAGAAACTCGCTACTCTGGAAACCCTCAACGGCGATTAAAAAGAGTCAGCACAACACGTTGGTCATCTCACTCATCTGCTCTTAAAACTGTTATTGATACATTTGATGCTTTAATTGATACACTGGATGATTTACAAAATGTTCCCACCACTGATCGTGTTTGCTGTGTTAAAGCAAGTAGCTTAATGGATTATATGTTGTCTGAGCGTTTCATATTAACAAGTTTGTTGTTCACTAATATTTTTAATATTACAAGTCCATTGAGTAAATTTCTTCAAGGTAAAAATGCTGATTTGTTAGCTGCTGTAAATTATGTAAAAGATGCACTCACGAAAATAGAAGAGCTTCGATGTGACAAACAGTTTGATGAGTTACAAAAGAATAAAAACAAATTTATTGAATCAAAGAAAAATGATTTTTCTTTCACTCCCATTAGACAAAATAAACGTATTAGACGTATTAAAATAATGCCAGGTGAAAAGTCATTAGATGAACCAATATATAACCCTACCGATCAATTTAAAGTCAACACGTACTACACCGTCTTAGATATTATCACGACACAAATAAAGGAACGCTTTAATGAAAACTCAGCACCATTATTAAAATATCTTTCACTTTTTCAAAAAACAAGAATTCAGGAAATTGCTAATAATAATTCCAGTATGCCAATTGCTGCTTTTAATGGGTTGGAAGCTATTTATAAACAATTTATTTCAGCTAATGAATTAAGGCGTGAATATTTACAATTTGTAAATATATTTCTTACGTTTGCAACATTGACAAAACTTCCAAAAAAACTTCATGGTGATATTGTTGATTCAATTATACACTATGAAACTGATGATGAGGAGATTGACAACGACGGAGAAAAAAACCAAAAGCATTTTTGTACTAAAAACACAATAAATTATGCTTATAATGTATTTTATTTAAATGGCCTGGAGGATATATTTCCTTCTGTTTATGAAGCGTTGTCAATTGCTCTAACACTACCGGTATCAAGTGCATCGCCCGAAAGGGCATTTTCGAAATTAAAGTTGATCAAAACTAGGTTGAGAAGTACTATGGGTGAATAGCGGCTGGAATCATTAATGTTGATATCCTGTGAAAAGGACATTACTTTATGTCCAGATGAAATTATTACCACTTTTTCAAATAACAGTATTATCTTAAAAAAATTATTGTAATAGTATATTTGAAAAAGTTTATGTCCATGGTAAAACAGTTTTTTTTATTATACGTTTATTTGATACATTTTATCAAAATATTATTTTATTTTACTCCTATTACTACTACTTGAATAATATTTATAGTGCTTAATTTATTTGTTAAAGTTGAATCGAATCTACTATTCTAATCCTATACCTAAATATTTGTGTTTCAAATTGCTGCATTTGATTCAAGAAATAAAACTTTGTTTCTTAGAAGTCATGTAATGAATTAATTTGATTCAGTAATAATATTCACTATTTCACTGTATCTTTTGCGAAAGTTAAATTATAAAATGTATTAGTAGGCACTAGGCACTAGCCACTAGGTAGGTACTAGGTACCTAAATAATATTTAATCATAAATGTAATAAACAATTAATTTGGTATTTGCCTGTACCCTAATTTTAAATAAATAAATAAATGTATAATATTATTTAAATCTAAATTATATAAGTAAGTAAAATATAACATAACTGCAATTTAAAATTAATTTAAATTCAACAGCTATGAGCAATTTAAGTTTTGAAGTTGGGAAATTGCAATTTTGAACCTTTGAGGCCTATACTACATATTTGATTTTTTGGGGGCTACCAATTTTTTTTTTTGGGGGGGGGGATCTTTAACACTAGCTTAAATATATCTATGGGTGGGTGGATGGGTGTCATAATGAAATTTTGTCACACCTTTATTTTGGCAATCCGGCGCCACTGTAGGCATAGGACAATTTCCAAAATGTTTTATAGAGCACATAACTAGAGCAAATAATGAATTAACCGAACCGTACACCGAAGCAGAATTAAAAGAGATTACCCACAACATAAAAGGGTTTCTGTATGATATGACAGAAAATGATATGGAAGATCTGGAAAAAATTAACTGTCAGGACCTAATTGAATTTATCGACATTATTCCAGAACCAGAAGACCTACTGTATTACAAAAACTTATTCTCAGAAAATAATTAATAAATCGGTGTATTAAAAAAAAAAATAACAATAATATAAAATAATTAATTCAACGACGTTGGGATCAAATGACCCAATAACCGGTCTTCGACGATTTCCGCACATTCTGAATTATTCAGAATCAGTATCAGATACAGATCCGTTTTCCTCGCCGTCGCTCATTAGGGCAGCCCGAACCACGTCGTCAGGAGGAGGTGTGAATCCTTCTGGCCATTCAACTTCTAACGTAATATCAGGACGTCCTCTCATTAAAATATATATATATATAATAAAAATAGAATATAATAACAAAAATGTATGCATTATAGTTATTCATAAAATACACACAATTACGAAGAACATTTCTTCGGCAGTTTTCTTCTTTTGTTTGATAGTCAGAATTTTTCGATGGATTCATTTATAACAAATCTATTTAAAAAAAAAAACACGTATGATAAAATATAATGGTTTTAATTATATAAGAATATAATAAGATAGTTTAATTTAATATGAATATAATTTATACTTTTAGATTGGTGATGGTGACGTGTTTTCTAGTCAATACTGTCGAATCTGACGAAATAAATACATCAGAGTACTTTTCATAAAAGCCTTATGGGAGTGGCAGGGGAATACAATATGAAAATTTGGGACCAGTTAGATTAATAGGGGCTCAATACAGCCTGGTAACGTTTTTCTCATTAAAAGAATATAACATGAAATATGAGTTATTGGGGGAAAAATTAAAATATATAACAAATATGTGTACTGACCAGAAACACCAAGATCAATGTGGAAAATATCAAATAGTAATTACAGATTTATATAATGAAATAACTAAACAAAAAGAACGTATGTATATGTCACTAGGAAGTATTATACAGGAAGATAAACGAAGAAAGAAAAGAGGATTAATAAATATAATAAGTAACACTATGCATACATTATTTGGCGTATGTGATGATAAATGCACTAAGAAAACACAAGAAGCTATAAAAAAAAACAGAAGAATCAGGAACTAACATATTTCATATAATGGAAACCCAAACTACTGTAGTAAAATCAACAATAAGAAATATTGGTAACACATTAAATCAAACCGAACAACTATACAATAATATTACGGAAAAGGAGCAACAACTCTATGAAAAAATGTCAAAAATACAGAACAAAACAAACGATTTATTAGATTTACTAATGAAAAATGAAATACATAATTTATATACAATAATTACAAATCAATATTCCTACGAAACAGAAACTTTAGGACAAATAGTAACTGCCCCTAGAGAAGGAATGATACATCCAAGTCTTATGACACCGCAAGAACTAGCATCAACATTAAAAACAATAGAACAAACTATAAAGAAAATATAGAGTATTCCGATTTGAACAAGGAGATGGGAACTAAATGAATTTCAAAAAATTACAAAAATAAGAATCTACTATACAGACAACAAATTAGTATTTGATATAGTAATACCATTAATTTTAGACACTGAACTTACATTATATAGGTTAATATTAATACCAATGCGTCATAAGCAAGATAATTCTAGTGGGTGGTACATGATTTACTTTACTTACAATAATATTGCTGTTACCAGAGGATATAAAAAGTTTACTACATACACAGATCAACAATTAAACGAATGTAAGGAAACTTCAATATATAGAATATGTAAAACACCACAACCTATACAGGATAACAACGAACGCCAACCATGCGAAGTGCAAAACTTCATAAAATCTGACACATATTCTAATCCTGAGTTATGTACGGTAAAGAAAATTAATTTAAAGAGAAGCATATATCAAAAATTGCAAAATAAAAATACATGGATTCATGCAGGAAAAGAAACACTAACAATAAGTTGCACCAACCTAATAGATCCATTCATAACAGAAACAAATGAAGCAGGAGAAATAACTATAAAAGACATCAGTTGCCAAGTATTTGCACGGGACGCATATTAGCATTCTGGGGTCGGTCTCGGCACCGGTTATCATTTTAGCCTTCTGATTGGTCGTTTCTACTATCTATATAAAAATCTAATTTTCTTATCATATTATATCATATTATATTCTAGACTACTTGAGACATAATCTATATATAGAGTATGAGTAGGTATCATTTACCATTAAAAGGGTTTTGACTTTTTGTAGGAAGCTTTTTAACTAAAAAAATTCTTAAAATGTTTAAATTAGTGGAATTTAATAATAATTAATTTCGTTCTAATATGTTTTCTGAACAAGATATATGTAAATGGATTAGTATTCATAGTAAACAGACCAATACAAGCTGGTGTGTGAACAATAAATTGTCAAACAGTGAAAGTTCAAGATATGTTTGTAGGTAAGAAGTCAATACACACACACACACACATATATACCAGCAGTATTTATACAATTATATATTATCTACCTATTTTGTTAAGTTAAAATAATTGGTATGGTATTTTAGAAAAGTTTATATGTGTCACCATAGTGGATTTAATAAAGTTAGTATTGACAACAACAAAAAAGGGAGATCAAAAAACACAGAATGCAAAGCTCAAATTGACATTAAAATTAAACTTAATACTAAGGACACAAGAAAAAAGGATAAATATATTAGAGTGAGTAGATACTATATATTCAACTTTCATCCATTTATTTTGCTTACTATAGCATAATTTATAATTTAAAATAATAGGATGGTTTACCAGCAGTTGTTATATTTGTGAATGAACATAACCATAATTTAGCTTCTGCTGAAGCTTTATCTTTTTTAAGACCTACCAATGAAGTTAGAATAATATATGAAAATTATTTCAATGATGGTTTAGGTGAGTATTTATCTCCTCTATAATAAATAATAATTAAATAATAGCTATTTACCTGGAAGTTAATAGAATAATAAGTAATATAATATATTTTAACAGTACAATAAATACAATATCCTCAGATACAAAATATGTGCATACTACAAACATTTAACTATAAAAATTAATAATTAAATTCAACGAAATCAACATTTTTACATGTTATAATATTATATTACTTTAGGGAAAATTAGTTAAATATTTTGAAACAATAAAAAACTAAAATTTATGTACAATTACTCTGCCTCATATTACATAATAATTTAATTTAAAATTAGTTTTAAACTGTAATTTTAACACATTTCCCAAACAGCTGAGTGTTTGAGTTGTAAAGAAAGTAGGTAAATATTGGTATAATTTGTTAATGTTTGTGTGGGATGGTATTTTTGTATATGAATAACTATTACCCAAAAAACTGTATTGTAGTAATATTGAAAATGGTGTGCCAATTATTAAAAAAAAATGTATTAAATTAATTTTATTTTTTCAAAATACAAACTTTTAAGCAGTGGCGGATTTAGCGTCAGGCAAAGTAGGCAGTTGCCTAGGGCGGCAAATTTTTAGGGGCGGCAATTTTAGGCCAATATTTTATTGAGAATATTCTAGGTTTTTTTTTGATTTTCTAATGTACGGTGATTACTATGAAGGATGGAAAAAAAATGTTCAATATTTAAGTATAATAATATTCTTGTTAATATAATTTCTTCTTTATTTTATAATACATAACAATAAACGTCCAAGTAAATTATCGAACGACTGCCGGAACGTAGATCTATTATCTAAATACTAAACATAGATAACATATTTGAATATTTCGTTATTTTGTTTTTTTGCTAAATCGTAATAATTATTAATAATAGCTCGTGGTTCGTTTGATCGCACGGCGTACACACACTACACGCACAATACATACAGATATGATATATTTAATACGAATACGGGTGACGATCGCGATTCGTATTGGAACGATAGTCTAATTATAAACCAGTCACTGTGAATATTTTTATATAATAATATACTCGTTCGTACTATGCATTATGTGTACAAAAATAAAACTTTTTCTATCCAAAAGATAAAATTATGTAATAATTGTTTATTTTTCTTCGGGACTATTAAATAGAGGGCGGCCGAGTAGAAAATAGGTTATTTTCAACACAACATTCAAGGCGGATAGACATATTCGGTTATTACTTATTAGTATACTACTTAAATTACTGGTAAGTAAACACTATATTTTATAAACACTATAATATTATAGCGATAAATTAGTGCTAAGGCTTGCAAAACTGAATTTTATTTTTATGAATATTCGTATGCATTAGTTCTTATTTGGAATTTCAAATTCTTGGTTTATTAATTTTTACAAGCCCATTAAATAAAAGTATAAAACACTTGTTGATTTTTTTTATTCCCTACGCGGTGTGTTATAGGTAAATATTTTCATCATTCAAATTTGATTTTTATCGGTATAAAAATGCATAGAAAGAGATTGAGCGGAGCACAATATAAAAAAGCAGCAAGAGAAAAGGAAGAAAGAGAAAAAAAAGCTATAAATCAAACCATAAAACTGGATAAATTTTTATTTGTTAAAAATATTGACGATGCAAATCAAACAAATGTGAATTCGAGACATTCGAGTAGTACTGTATTAGATCAAAGCAATGACGTAATACCTACTGATGGTGTGGAAATAAATAATGTTATAAGTTCTTCTGAATCTGAATTTCCTAATTTAACGGCAGAGGAAATTAATAAATTAATACCTACTGATAATGTGGAAATAAGTGTGATAACAAGTAATTCTGAACCCGAAACTCCCAATTTGACGACAAAAGAAATTATTCACGGAACAATTAGCACTCCTGAATCATGTTATATTCTTGAATCATCTTTTTCTTTTAATAAAATATTTTGGACTGTCAACGAACATGCGCGTGATTATTTTTCTATAAATGGTTTTGATGTTAATATATACAAAAATTGTGATTTTATAAACTCTAAATTAGAATCTAGATGTATGACCAAAAATATGTTTGAACGTTTATTACCAAATGGTGAAAAAATCGAGAGATTTTGGTTAGTCTACTCTGAAAGCACAGGTAAAGCATTTTGTGGACCATGTTTTTTCTTTTCAAGTCGTAACGATGAATCCTATTTATCAACGCAAGGTTTTAATGATTGGAAAAACGCACAATCTCGTTTTAAGCAACACGAATGTTCTACAAATCATATACAATCCCTTATAACAATGAAAACTAGGGCAAATCTTAGTGATCGTATTGATAAAAAGCTTTTTTCACAACTTGAAGATGAGATATCTTACTGGAAAAATATTTTACGAAGAGTTGTAGCCGTTATAAAATCATTATCGTCGCGTGGACTTCCATTTAGAGGTCAAAATGAAGTTATTGGTTCAGTCCACAATGGAAATTTTTTAATGGCAATTGAGCTTGTGGCACAATTTGATCCATTTTTAGCTCAACATATTTCACGATATGGAAATCCGGGCAGTGGTCATACATCGTATTTATCATCGACAATTTATGAAGATATTATGCAACTTATGGCAAATAAAATAATCCATACAATTGTTGATCAGATTAAAAAATGTAAATATTTTTCATTAATTATTGATTCCACACCTGATATAACACATATAGATCAACTGTCTTTTATTGTACGATATGTGTATGAAGGTATTCCTGTTGAGCGTTTCATTCAATTTATACCTAGTTGTGGACATAAAGCTAACGATATGAAAAAAGCCGTTTTAGATACGTTGGAAAGCCTTGATATTAGTATAAATGATTTCAGAGGCCAGGCTTACGATACTGCTAATAATATGTCTGGACGTTATAACGGATTACAGGCAAAAATAAAAGAATTAAATAACCTTGCTGTATATATACCATGTGCGGCGCATTCATTAAATTTAGTTGGTACTCATGCTGTGCAATGTTCTAATGAAGCTGCTCAACTTTTTCTCCACGTTCAACATCTTTATACATTTTTTTCCGGATCTACTCACAGATGGAAAATTTTAATGTTTAATTTAAAGTCTGAATCAAAAACACTAAAACGTCTTTCAGGAACTCGATGGTCATCAAGAGATGATGCTTGTGTGAGTTTAAATGATTCATGGGATGAGATATTAAAAACTTTAAGTTTACTTGAAAATGACAATAGTGAACCAGCTGAAACTCGAAATGAAGCCTCTGGATTGCGCAAGAAGTTTGAAAAACTCGAGACAACGTTTATGGCTATATTTTGGGGATTTATATTAAACAGACTAAATGCTGTAAGTAAAAAACTTCAAAGTGTTGAAATAGATATTACAGTAGTTTTGGAGTTGTACGATTCACTAATAAATTTAATATTATCTCAGAGAGATAATTTTGATGAATTTGAGAAAAAGGCAATTTTAAGAGCTCAAATCAAAGAATATAAAACAACAATTTCAATAAAAAAGAAAAGAACAATTCCATATGATGAATCAAGACAAGACGATGTTCAGTTAACAGGAAGAAATCATTTTAGAATCAATACATATTTAACAATAATAGATAAATTAAATAATGAGCTTCAAAAAAGACGTGAAGCCTATAAATATTTTTGTGAACCTTTTTCTTTTATAAACACACTTAAAAACATGAAACAAAATGAAATATCAGAAAAAGCTAAAAAACTTTGTAAAATTTATAAAACTGATATAGATTATGAAGAGTTTGAGCACGAACTATTACATTTTCGATCTCTTTTAATTTCCAAGTATAATGAAGAAAAATTCACTGCATTAAAACTATTGGAAATAATTTATAAAAATGACTTAAAGTCGGTGTTTCCAAACATAGAAATAATTTTGAGAATTTATATTTCAACACCTGCCACTAATTGTACTGCGGAAAGATCATTTTCTTCTTTGAAGCGGATAAAAACTTATTTACGTTCAAAATTAGGAAAAGAAAAATTAAACTCCTTGGCGATTTTGTCGATTGAAAGTGAAATGACACAAGAAATACAATTTGAAGACAATTCAAAATTTTGCGGAAAAAAAAGCAAGACGCAAACAAATGAAATAGTTTATTTTTTTACATTATTTTTTTACATTATTTTTATATGTTGTATAATAATACGTAAGTACGAATTTTTAAGTTTGATTAGTTGCTTTTGTTTTTTTATAATACTATAGTTAAAATTTGATTAAAAACATTAATTTTTTGAAGGAACTTAATTATATTATCTATATTATAATTATATTTGATTGGTACAGCAAATTCATTCAAAAAAATGGTGATATATTATATTTTAATAAATATTGTATTGTTATACTATTTACTTGATTAGAACAGTTTATTAACATAACCGCTATTAATTATTGTTTAGTATCAGTCTTTATGATTTATTTTTTTAGTACTTATGTTAAATAAGTATTTGAAAATACGTTTTCTCGTTGATAAGTTTAATGGGGCGGCAAAAAAATATTTGCCTAGGGGCGGCAATTGTGTAAATCCGTCTCTGCTTTTAAGTATATTATATTAATTAATGCATATATCTAGACTAGTTAAATTTCGTTCTAATATGTTTTCTGAACAAGATATATGTAAATGGTATTAGTATTTAGTATTTAGTATTCATATTAGCATTCAAATATGTTTTACTTGAGACATAGGTACAAAAAAGGATAAATACATTATTCTATACCTAGTTAAACCAACATTTTTTTATACCAGTAGTATTATACTTAATAAAGTAGTAACAAATTAATAAAGTCTGAATAAAGTTAGTGCTTAGAGCATATTATGTTATGAACAATTAGTTGTCAAACAGTGAAAAATAATTGCTATTTGTTATTTGTTTTATAAAAGTTTACAGTGAATAAAATAATAATAATAATAATAAGTTTATTGTGAATAACTAAAAAGGAAGATGCTAGAACACAGAATACCAAAATTAAATACTAAAAAACAGTTAAAAAACACAAAAAAAGGATAAATATATTAGAGTAAGTAGATGAGTTTCACTTGTCCAATCTGCTAAGTCATTAAAAAACTTAATTCAGTTATTAGATTCTGAACTGAGAAAAATATATTTTTATTTTTTTATATACCTACTATATATTCAACTTTCATCCATTTACTTTGCTTACTGTAGATTTATATTTTTAAGACCTATTACTGAAGTTAGAATTAAATATGACAATTATTTCAATGACTTTAGATAAATATTTATCTCCTCTATAATGAATAATAATTAAGTAGGTAATAGTTATTTAACTGGAAGTTAATAACATAGGACATATGTAATATTTAACAGTAAGGTACAATATTCTTAGAAATTAGGGTAATAAATATTACTTATAATAATAAAAAATTAATGGAAAATTCAACTTGGCAGTTTTACATTTTATGTAATTATAATATTTTAGAGCATTTTTAGAGCAAATATTGGTATTATTATTATTATTAAAAATATAAATACACAGACAAAAAAAAAAAAAATACAGAAAAAGTAATTATAATAATTATATAAAGTACCTAAGTATAGTAATTATAAAATATGTATATAATAATAATAAAAAATATGCTTTATAAAATTTGATGAAAATAGTAAATACATAATAGGTTGATACTAGTAATAGCAATCAATGACCTTTGGCATTTGGGACATTTTTCCTCACATTTTCGGCTAAATTTCTTTTTCTTTTTATTACATTTCTTTTGTTATTGTCTGTTTTCACTGGTCGTCCTACTAATAAACGTTTACTACCTCTTGTGACACCTGGCTTTCTTCTACTTATGGTAGTAGGCTGTACATGAATAGTTGCACGAGATCGATGTCTTAGTGATATAGTACTACCAGCAGTACTCAAAAATGATTCCCAAGTAGCAATCGACTTAACTTTCTTCAAACGATCTAAACATTTAGAGAGTACAGAAACTGAAGTATTACTTTTAAATTTTTCAAAATTTGTTTTAATTAATTCTTGAATCTGGTTAACATATTCATCCGACTGTTGATCAATATTATGATTATCAAGATGATCATCAGTTTCAACTATAGTATTTCTTATTGGAGATGATAATACATTATCTTCAACAATTTCTGTTGTTTCTTCACTAGATTGACAATTATTTTTTTCAAGATGAAGTGGCTTATAAAATGCTATTTCAGGTACAATCTCTCCAAAAGCTAATTTAGCTAGCATATAGCGAGAATCGACAGTAATAGCTGGTAAATTAGGCATGGCCCTGTTAAAGTGATGGTATACTGCTGCCTGATGCTTGCAAAAAGCTCCCAAGTTTCCTTTGGAACAAGAACAAAATCCATGAGTAACATCTACTTCATAATAACCACAATCGGACCCTGATGGTGCTTTAAATATATTGTTAGGCAATTTTTCTATTGAATCTTTATTAATATTAACAGCTCTTTTTATTTGATCTTCAAAAAGCAATCGAGCTGTGTCATTTCTACCATTAACAAAAGTCCTTAAACGTCTTAAGTAGTAATCTTCAAGGCCAGTACAAATAAAATCCACCAGTGCAATGGCATTATATGCCTTATTTCTAGAGAGTACTATGTCTTTAAAAATCCGTACATTAACTTCACTAAAATTATTGGTCTGATAACCATGGACAGTAGCATCTCTAAAAGCTAGACACCATAATTCTTTCCTCGCCCAATAATTATTCATATATTTCACCCATTTTTCATACTTAAGAGGTATAATTTCATCACTTATACTATTATTTATAGTGTTTGTTTTGCCAATAGCAGTAGTATAGGCATTATGAGCACTATTATAATCAGGTGCAATTAAAATACTTTGAAATAATTTAAATAACAATTTTCTGTGTTCATTTTTGATATTATGTTTTACATCCCATAACCATCTCCAAACTGACTGTAATACATGGAACCTACAAAGCAAAATATTTGATTGTGGCCAAATTGATTTTAGTGCTTGTCTTTCTGCCTCGCTATCATCAATTATAAAATGAAGCGCTCGGCCGAACAACGGGACAAGCGCCACTGAGCGCATTTTACAGTAGACGCGTTTAAAATATTACGGACCATTTCTGTCCGTGTTGGTTGAACATTGCACGTAGCTCGTTGTTCCATCCGTCTTCTCTTAATCAACTTACCTTAATGTAATAATATCCATTGAGTCTACTAATCAGACAAAATATAATATTTATGTTAAAGTATAAATACGAAAATGAAACATAATACGCAAAAATATTATTATTTAATTTTATTGTTTATACATTTAAAATTTAAAATATATGATTTATAATATTAAATTTTTAAAAAAAATGTTTCACTTAATATTTATGTTATTTTATTCTTCTTTTTATTTTTGACAAACTTGAGTATAATATTAAAAGGAAAAATTAAGTATACAAAATGAAACTGTCATGTAAAATATTTTTTATCTTTTTGATTTAAACTTATATAAATAATAAACCATCAAAAGTTTAGTAAGTCCTGATAAAATTGTTTTTTTTCTTGTGGCAAATAATCGCACATATCAATTAAGTCTTTCTTCTTCTCTTCTGAGATAGGTATGACTTCTGTGTAAATTTCTGGCAAGTTGCACAATGAAGCTAAGTTTATTTTTCTCCCGTATATTTGAAAAATACTCCATGGTCTCAGTATGTTATGACTGCTCCTCAAATATACGTTTGTGGGATCATCACTAGTCACTTTCATCCACATACCTTCTGTGATTTTCATTTTCGTATTCCTTATCAGTGCTTTCTCTACTGGAGTAAAATCTTTAAAATCATTTTGTTGCATCTCGATGACAAAAAAAGGCTTATTCAACCTTGCCTCAGCGATAATATACTTCCAATCTCCAGGAATGAACACCTTTGAATTTTTTTTTTTTTTTTCGATCAGGGCAAAGTCTCTGTCACAGGGAAGAAAACTATGCCCAGAACATAAAAATTTTTGATTTATTTCAGAGAAATATCGAGACTGAACAAGAAGAGCGTATAAGTTTAAGACACGCCAATTATTATTCTGACCTACACATCGGTCAGACCAAATAATTAATTTCCTTTGCTCTCCAGGTTGCATAATAGTAAATCGATCAACTACGTATTTCAATATGCAAGAGGCATGTTTATTATGTTTATATAAATATAAAACGTTGATAGTAATAACACGATTTCCGCTCGCAACAATAAGATAACTAGGTACTATATAAATATATGATACAATTTGACACGTGTCACGTTGTTCCACGACTTAAAACTTAACTTAATATTGCCTTTTAATCTATTTTTTTGTAATTTCAATGCGATAGTGAACATATACAATAAATTATACCCGTGCCCCGTTATTCCACCGATAAACGCAATAATGCCGAGACTGGCGCTTGTCCCGTTGTTCGGCCGAGCGCTTCAAATGTCTTGGAAAACCTTGGCCATAAAAACTATTAGGAACTGAATCTTTCAGTAATGAAAATGCAGTCTTATAGTCATCAACTGTTTGTCCTTTTGTTATAAACATGCCCAGAGGAATAGCTCCAATATCACATGATGTTAGCATAAATGTAACAGAATGACTCTGAGTATCACATGACGCAGTACTGTCTGCAAAAGCAATATCTTTAGAAAAAGCTAATTGATGAGCTCTTTGCATAATAGGAGTGACCACTAGTATAGCAAATGGATTTTCATTAAACCTTACAATTATTCCACATTTTTCATAATCGGTTTTCTTATCTTCAAGTTTCTACAAAATATTTATTTAAGAATTAAGTAATACAAATTTAATATCAGTTTTACAGTGTATTAGGTACTGTAGGATATAGATTATAAAAGTACATTATCCATTGGTAATTTTAAAAATGAAATATTTTTTAAAATTTTTTTAATAAAAAATAAGTACCTAATTTAATTATTTAATGTATTTAATTAGATTCTTTTTACTTGGTAACAATATAAAAAAAAATTATTTAAAAATAGGTGGTGATATAAATTAATATGGAATTATATGGTATGGTATTATGGTCACTTGCCCAAATTTATTTAATTAATATAATAGGTACAAGGTACAACATAATAAATTGTTAAGGAGACTTATTAATATAAAATTATAAAGTTACTTGTATTTATTCATTTACCTATTTATATTTTTTTATATAATTTATTAAATCAGAATAATAATACATACATAATCATATATCCACATTCCACATGTATATTTAACATTATTAGACTTGAGAGCTAGGTAATTCTCAGTTTTATATATAATATTATTTTTTACCTGATCCCTTTAAGTTAAACATATAGTGGGATTAGGGAAATTATAATAAATTTATAATATTAGTATATATAATATTAATTATAACAGTGGATGTAAATTATGTACCTACTAAAAAAATAATATATAAACTTATTTTTATATTCAAACAATATTAACATCAATTTATGATGTAAACATTGAGTAAAATTACATATTTGACTTTTGTGAAAAATTATAGATGGGTAGGTAATAATAATATAAGAAAATGTTGTAAAAATATATGTTTTAAATTGGTCAAAATGATATGTATTTATTTCAAGAGTTAATGATTAAATGTTTATATTATAATTTATATTTACCCATTATATTAGATAAATTCAATAAATTATAGATAATATGTTGAAATTTAAATTTATGATGTCAACAATGCTTATTCCTTCAAGGAAACCTCCTAACCTTTGACACACTTTAACATATATTGTTATTTTAAATGTTTTAATTTAAATTATTAATATATTATTTTACAGATCTATATTTTATTTTAAGGTTTAAATAATCAAACTAATTTTTTTATTATGGCTATTACTAGTATTAAATTGAAATTTATAATTATTACTATGCATACCTGTAATACACTAAGTTCAGTAGAAGATCCGAGGTTATTTAATTTCCAAGTGTCATACCAATGACGAACGGTCCTATACTTAGGGTTAATTGAAGCATCAGCTAGTTCTTCAGAATTTATACCATACTCTAATTCCAATTTTGTTTCATGGATACTTATAGACTCTGATATGCCTATATGCATTAATTGATATAATATACTTAAAAGTTTGTATTTTGAAAAAATAAAATTAATTTAATACATTTTTTTTTTAATAATTGCCACACCATTTTCAATATTACTACAATACAGTTTTTTGGGTAATAGTTATTCATATACAAAAATACCATCCCACACAAACATTAACAAATTATACCAATATTTACCTACTTTCTTTACAACTCAAACACTCAGCTGTTTGAGAAATGTGTTAAAATTACAGTTTAAAACTAATTTTAAATTAAATTATTATGTAATATGAGGCAGAGTAATTGTACATAAATTTTAGTTTTTTATTGTTTCAAAATATTTAACTAATTTTCCCTAAAGTAATATAATATTATAACATGTAAAAATGTTGATTTCGTTGAATTTAATTATTAATTTTTATAGTTAAATGTTTGTAGTATGCACATATTTTGTATCTGAGGATATTGTATTTATTGTACTGTTAAAATATATTATATTACTTATTATTCTATTAACTTCCAGGTAAATAGCTATTATTTAATTATTATTTATTATAGAGGAGATAAATACTCACCTAAACCATCATTGAAATAATTTTCATATTGTTGAAAGTGAAGCTTGACGGACTAATGATGTTAGCATTAATATAATAAGTAATAACACGACAATATGATTATGTATAAGTATAATATATAATAACGTACAACTGGACAATTAAACTGTGACTATACACACACACCGCGTACACTCGGTATGACAGCGTCTGTGCAAGTGAATATTACATACATCAAAGGCCCTATATATATGCATGACCGAGGTCATGTTACATCCGTGAGGGAGTGAGTCTTATGCTCGTACATAACTAGTTACTATATTGTACACACGTGTCAAGGCTGACTACATGTACTACATATTAATTGTATATTTCAACACCCTCCCTCAATTAATAATCTCTTTAATTGTAGTCACTCCTATGGCTGACCGCAACTTCTCGAATCGTTCCTTAACCAAAGGCTTGGTTAGAATGTCCGCAATCTGGTCCTCTGTTCCAATGTACTGTAGTTGGAATTGTCCCTCTTCGTATTTCTCCCGTATGAAGTGGTACCGTACGTCTATATGTTTTGTCCTCTTATGAAACTCCGGATTCTTAACTAAACGTATAGCACTATGATTATCTATAAATAAAACTGGTTGTTTGTCACCTGTTGTTGATAAGCTTGTTATCAACCGTGTAATCCACAAGATCCCTTTGACAGCTTCACTGGCCGAAATATATTCAGCCTCTGTCGATGATAACGACACACAATGTTGTCTCTGTGATGTCCATGAAATTATGCTTGACCCGTACCTGAATAGAAATCCTGACGTCAAACGTCGTGTCTGAATGTCGCCTGCGTAATCTGCATCGCTAAATATTTCTAATGACAATTTTATTTTGTTATTAAAGTACAAGCCATAATTAAATGTTCGCTTGATATATCGTATAATCCGTTTTACCAAGTTCCAATGAGCTTTAGTTGGTTTTGCTAAGTAACGACTAGCAAAGTTTACTGCATATGCTATATCTGGTCTTGTTACCTGTGATAAGAACAGTAAGCTACCTACTGCCTGCCTATAAGGAATATCTTCATTCAATATTTCCGTATCTTCTTTTTGTTCAAGTGTATGTGATTTGTCTATTGGTATTGAAAGTTCCTTGGCATCCAGCATATTAAATTTATTAATTATGCTACATGCATAATTTGTCTGATGCACAAATAATGAACCATTTTTCCTTATATTTACCTGCATACCTAGGAAATAATCTAAGTTTCCTTTTTTAACCTCAAACTCTTTCTCCAAGTTCGTTAAAAGTTCCTCTATTATCTCTTCATTATCTGCCGCGATTAAACCATCGTCAACAAATATTGCAAGAATAATTTGGCTGTTATCAGCTTTGAATACACATGCATCCGCTTCGGTACATTGTAAACCAAATGCATTCAAAAAGTTCTTAAAGCGTATATTCCAACATCTTGGACTTTGTTTTAAGCCATATAAACTACGCTGAAGCTTACATACTTTATTCGATCCATCTTCGTATCCTGGTGGTTGTACCATGTAAATTTCTTCCTGTAGTTCTCCGTACAGAAATGCTGTCTTGATGTCGAATTGTCGTAGTATTAATTTTTCCACAGCTGCTACTGCGAATATCGCCCTAATTGATTCGTATCTGACCACTGGCGAAAATGTTTCATGGTAATCTATACCGTATTTCTGTGAACAACCTTTAATGACCAATCTGGCCTTAAACTTATCGATATTACCGTCACTTTTATATTTGGTTTTGAACACCCATGCATTACGTAACGCAACCTTGCCCTGGGGCAAATTAACTAGTGACCAAGTGTTGTTTCTGTGTAGTGATTTAATTTCATCACTCATAGCGTGCTCCCACTCGTTTTTCTGTGGGCCAGCTATCGCTTCATCACGATTTAGTGGTTCAACGAGATTGGCGACGAACGACGACACATTATACCTGATCGGCGCTTTTAATGTATTCCGATCACGTAGCACCATGCCACTCCTGTTGTCGACCGTCGTCAATTCGACCTTGACCGGATCGCCCTTGACTTGAGTCTGAGTATCTGTGAATTCTAATTTGTCTGCAATTATATTTTCCAATTTATTACCTTCGTTTTCGAATATAATATCTCTAGACATTGAAATTCTATTTGTTTTCGAATAATACACACGATAACCTTTCGTGTTATCCGAATAGCCAACAAATATTCCTTTTTCACTTTTAGGGTCCCACTTTTTACGTTTTTGCTTTGGTATGTGTGTATATACGACAGTACCAAAAACTCGTAAGTGTTTAATGTCTGGCATTACCTTGTAATATAACTCGTATGGTGAGTTATTTTTAACTGAACTGGTTCCTGTTCGATTAAGCGTGTAAACAGCCGTGTTTACCGCCTCCGCCCAAAGTGATACATCCAAATTTTTCGCACAAATCATTGTCCTCGCTGACTCTACTATTGTACGATTTTCCCGTTCCACTTTTCCATTTTGCTGTGGTGTGTAGGGAACTGTTAACTGATGTCGAATCCCGTGTTTTTGTAAAATACCCGTAATTTCTTTATTTACGAATTCTAATCCATTATCCGTTCGTAATATTTTGACCTTAGAACCTGTTTCTGTTTCAACACTTTTTATGAACGTCTCAAAAATATTTTTAACATCATATTTATTTTTAATAAAATATACCGTTCTATAATGCGAGTAGTCGTCTTTGAATAACAAAAAGTATTTTGAACCGCCTATAGAGCTTACCTCCATTGGTCCACATAGGTCTGCATGAATTAAATCACCGACATTGTGATACTCCGTATTACTTTTACTAAATGATTTACGAGTTTGTTTACCTATTATACAACTGCTGCACATGAATTCGTCGTCCTTGGCCGAACATACTATTTCGTGTTTCGCCAAACAACTTTTTACGTACTGTAAATTCTGATGTGCCATGCGCTCGTGCCAAACAGACAACCTGTTTTCGACAGCTACCGTCGCGTACCCGTTTGTCGGTACTTCGACCTTGATGTTTAACTCAAACAACCTTCCGCATCTCTTACCTGAGCATACGGGTTTCCCCTGTTTAGTTAACATACACGTCTTACTATCTGACGTCAATACTAAACCTTTATCCATCGCGGCTCCGCACGAAAATAAATTAAATTTTAGTCCTGGCACGTGCAACACGTTTGCCATGTAATTTTTATTCCAATTACCATTTACGTATGATAATATATTAATATTACCTCTACCTGCTGCATACAGATTCGTCCCATCACCTATCGTGATTTGTTGCGTGTTGTCCAGTGGTTCATAACTTGAAAACCACTCTCGATTTGCGCTCATATGATCCGACGCGCCCGAGTCTAGTACCCACGCATCTGTTGCAATATTATTTATACTTGACTCGCTTACGAATGCGTTCAAGTTCGCACCTATAGTACCGGTTTTACCACCGTGTACCTTTTGTAGAAAATTTCTACAGTCTCTTTTATAATGACCTAGTTTACCACAGTAATAACACTTAATATTACTTTTATTCGTAAATTGATTTTTACCTTTTCCATAATTACGACTGCCGTTTCTTCCATCAGATCTGTTTTGAAATTTGGCCGGAAATGCACTCGATTTCTCTTGTTCACCAACTTCACCTTTGATCTGGATAACCCGTGATTCTTCAATCAACAATCGACTAGTCAAATTATTTATATTTTTACTTCCCGTTGGGACTGAATCCCAAGCACTGTAAAAATGATTATATTCTTTTGGTAGTGTCATTAGTATTTTTGTCATAACCATGTTATCCGTAACTGGTTCACCCGCTACACTCAGTTTCCTTCCTAAATTGACCAATTTAGAAATATGCGTCGACATGTCATCTGTCGACTCCTTTGAATAACTGAAAAATTGTTGTTGAAGCAAATGTATACTTGCCTCAGACTTCTGCTCGTAAATACTCAGCAGTTTCTCCCACATTTCCAATGCAGTCTCACAGTTAATCAAATATTGTAATGGACCATCGTCCACTGAGGTAACTATTATTTTCTGACATTTACCGTCCGCTTTTTGCCAAGCGTTTGTATGCCTTTGCCAACGTGCTTTGGCATCCTCGTCGGTCTCTCCTGCCGACTTTTTTATAGGTAGACCTGGTTTCGTCCATTCGCCTGAAACTATCTCACCTACTTCCAAGGCATTTAAAATGACCTTCATCTGGAACTTCCATAACGACCAGTTTTCCGCACATAATTTTGTTATCTTCACCGTGTCTTCCATGACCGATGTATTCCCGTATACTTTCCTGTATAACAATTTATAACAAAACTTTACCTATGTACACTGTTCCGCCGTTTTCCGAAATCCAGGATATCTCCGACTGGTTGTAGTTTTCTGCGTTAATACAAATATAAAAATACTTCGATCACGAATCCACTAGACTGTATGTCTTGGTTATTGACTGGGCCCATAACCTGTTGAAAGTGAAGCTTGACGGACTAATGATGTTAGCATTAATATAATAAGTAATAACACGACAATATGATTATGTATAAGTATAATATATAATAACGTACAACTGGACAATTAAACTGTGACTATACACACACACCGCGTACACTCGGTATGACAGCGTCTGTGCAAGTGAATATTACATACATCAAAGGCCCTATATATATGCATGACCGAGGTCATGTTACATCCGTGAGGGAGTGAGTCTTATGCTCGTACATAACTAGTTACTATATTGTACACACGTGTCAAGGCTGACTACATGTACTACATATTAATTGTATATTTCAACACATATATTATTCTAACTTCATTGGTAGGTCTTAAAAAAGATAAAGCTTCAGCAGAAGCTAAATTATGGTTATGTTCATTCACAAATATAACAACTGCTGGTAAACCATCCTATTATTTTAAATTATAAATTATACTATAGTAAGCAAAATAAATGGATGAAAGTTGAATATATAGTATCTACTCACTCTAATATATTTATCCTTTTTTCTTGTGTCCTTAGTATTAAGTTTAATTTTAATGTCAATTTGAGCTTTGCATTCTGTGTTTTTTGATCTCCCTTTTTTGTTGTTGTCAATACTAACTTTATTAAATCCACTATGGTGACACATATAAACTTTTCTAAAATACCATACCAATTATTTTAACTTAACAAAATAGGTAGATAATATATAATTGTATAAATACTGCTGGTATATATGTGTGTGTGTGTGTATTGACTTCTTACCTACAAACATATCTTGAACTTTCACTGTTTGACAATTTATTGTTCACACACCAGCTTGTATTGGTCTGTTTACTATGAATACTAATCCATTTACATATATCTTGTTCAGAAAACATATTAGAACGAAATTAATTATTATTAAATTCCACTAATTTAAACATTTTAAGAATTTTTTTAGTTAAAAAGCTTCCTACAAAAAGTCAAAACCCTTTTAATGGTAAATGATACCTACTCATACTCTATATATAGATTATGTCTCAAGTAGTCTAGAATATAATATGATATAATATGATAAGAAAATTAGATTTTTATATAGATAGTAGAAACGACCAATCAGAAGGCTAAAATGATAACCGGTGCCGAGACCGACCCCAGAATGCTAATATGCGCACGGGACGCAGTATTAACTGCCACGGAAGAAATTCAAAATAAAAAATTTAAAGACTTCACACCTGTAACTTACATGAATAATATTTTGTAGAAAATACCCGAACATATACACAAATTTGAAACAGATGAAAAATGGGAAAAGGGACCAGCTATGCAATTCACAGATTTACACGATGCATCCAAATCTTTAGACGAGGTATAACAAATGATTAACCAAGAACTTTTAAGAGAACAAAATCAAATACATCAATTTATACACAGTAATTTATTATATGTAACAATATTACTAGCATCGTTGTCTCTCGTACTTATAATAGCAATATATATATTAATTAAATGCAAATATATTATTAATGGACAGATAAGAGATATGCCAGGAAGAATAGTTAGATATAGAACACCAGGCACAAACGATTACATAAGAGAGACATTATTCACCGGACCGCCATCGCCAAGATAGATAGAATAAAAATATATTAAAAGTAGTCGCTAGTCATAACGAATTATTTACTTTAAATTTAATTAATAATAAAATAAATATATAGAATAAAAATAATATAGAACAGACAAAACGAAAATAAATACGTAACATATTAATAAAAATAATAAACACTAAGTAATAAAATAAATATTATTCATGCATAATAAAATAATTCGTAGAATAATACTTACAGATAATCACGATGTAACAATTATATAACAGGTCACTTTAATTATTTCAGGAACTAAAAAGAAGAACAAATATTTAAAACATACCCATATAGATAAGAAATATAAAATGAATAGGAACTCACCACCTACTTCTCGTACAGTTCAAAAGACACTACAAACAAAAGAATTCTTTCAGAAACTTATAGTAGAGTTAATAACAGCACGCCACACACAATTAAATCATGGGGGAACAGTGACCTTACACTGTTTCAGAATACATCTAAGGAGGGCGAATGAAGACATGACACACCCCTTTCCAAGACTAGTTTTAGAAAGAGTTATGGTTCATGTAAGCAACTTCGTACACGCGGTGGTTGAACGACCGGATCACAACAGACCCATTTGTATAGAATTAGGTTTGTTGTTAGAACACAGGCACGGCGCCAAGGGGGGACAAGGTGGGGCTCTAGCCCCCCCAGAAAACAGATCAGCCCCCTCGCCAGCCCCCCCACTGAAAAATATGTACGATATAATTAATGTTTGTTGTATACAGTTAAAAATATTTTTAGTTGACTTATTATTTTAAATATGTTTATGCTTGATTAACACAATACTATTGTGTAAGGAGTTGGTATTCGTACCTACCTACTTATATTAGTTTAGTAATTAGCATGACAAATTTCTTATTTAAAATAATTAAATAATTAATTCAATTTTCTTATTTTGTTATTTTTATAATCTTATTTGTCATGGTAATTACTTCACATATTACTTGATAATTAATAAAAAAGGATTTCTTAAAGTATCTATGTTTTAATATATACATATATGAACTATTTTAACCTCCAAAATTTAACAAAAAATATAAAGTAGGTACTTCAATTATAGTCAATACATACACTACTATGCAAATACCAATTTAAAAATGTATTGAATTAAAAATTTAAAATGTACTAGTTAAATATAAGGTAGGTAATCAAAAGTTTTTATTTAAAACAAATTGTATTCCTACTGATATCAGTGCAATTGTATACATTTTTGTTAACTTTTTCAATATTATTAGATTTTCAATCATTTACTGTATGGTGCATAAACAGATATTGTATAAAAAATCAATATTTAGCTCATAAAGAAATTATTATTTTTGTATATCATGTTATCATTATGAATATAGTTGTTGAAGGTCTTAGGTCTGTGATTAAACATTTTCTTACATATTACATAAGGAACAAAAAAAATATTTGATATTATTCTTAAAACATTTTTAACTATTCAAAAGTTTGTAAATATTATATGTTTAGACGTTTAGAGCATACAATATAAAACGTATGTACTATATAGCTAATAGCTATATTATGTTATATGATACGAAAATATTTATATTTCATTTAAATAACCTCAGCATTTGTTGAAATAATTTTAGCCCATGTAAAAAAAATAATTGCCCCACTCTGCCCCCCCTGGAAAAAAATTCTAGTGCCGTGCCTGTTAGAACAACTAATAATAAGAGGCGTGGCGATCAACTGATAAACGATATAGTTCCAAGAAATAAAATCATAAATGTATAATAATATTATTAAATTATAGTGTTACTGACCTTAAGTAATACATTTTATTTTAGCTCACAGATCCGTTTTTTCATAGTGGATTTCGAATTCTTTACGGCTAGTAAAGAAGAAACATTATTGGTATCCGGGGCGATTTCGAAGAGTCTAGAAAAATACCAGCCCAAGAAATTGGAAGGAAGTCCTCTTATACTTACAAAAGACGATAAGTTAAGAAGATTCCGGCTATGCGATATTAAGAAAATCGTGCAAACAATCAAACGAGTATTCCGAGGGAAAAAGGCAAGCGTGATTGCACCACTATTGGACCAATTATACAAAAGTGTAAACCACCAGGGGGAATCAACCTTGTCAACGGTTTACTTTCAAAGATATTTGCACATAGACAATAGGGATCCAATAATGGTTTTCTGGAATGGAATGACGGATATAACATTAATTAAATGGTTAAGAATAAAGGGTATTTTAGCATTTTTAAATATATCAGCATATAGTATGTATTAAAAATAATGATGAATTTAATTTAGAGCTAACGAATTTAGAAACTAAAGAAGTTTTATATTCAGGGTGTTTAGGAAAAATGAATAAAAACGGCAGAATGTTAGGACTATCAGAAACACATGGATTAATGTGTGATACTAATCATAATATTACGTATTGTCATGATCCAGTTGCCGATGTAATTTTAACAAAATGTCTATTTAATCATGTGGTTTCAAAAATGAGACCCATATATTTATATAAGTTAGCGAGGAAATATAAAAAAAAATTATAATCAGAATAAATGAATTATTATAGTTAATAAATAAGTTTTAGAAAATAAATTATATATATATTTATGGTTATGGTAAATACATAATTTAACACATGTTATATTATTTAAGATTCATTGAGGAATTAAAAAACATAATAAAAACAGAGGTACATATTTATAACTTTAAAGAAAATAAGATGCAGTCAGTATGTTTTAATTGGCATATATTAAAAGCGAACAAAAGATTAAATAACCGCTATGATCATAAATTTCTAAATAAAATAACAAGAAATCTTGAACTTTTTATAAATGATCACTGTAAAGGAGAATGTAAACATTTAGCAGAAATAATAGAAAGAACTAGAGACCCGAGTTATATAATATACTATCCTAAGTAACAAAAATGTATGGTTGCATATGTGTATGACAGTTTTAATAATTATTCATATAGATTTAGTATAATAATTAATTGGTGGAAGATAATAATTATTATTGTAATCAAGGGGAAATACTTACATTATATTATGTACTTACACTTTTAATGTTGTAATTTCAGGTACAATACTATTTTTGTTTTAAAAGGACTATTGCTCCTTCTTACTAACAC